CCAACATCCCTCCCAACCCCCCCACCCTGGGGCCCTTGGGGTGTCACCTGCTCCCACAGTGGTGACCCCCAGATGGTGACACCCACCATGACTGGGCAGCTTTGGGGTGGCCCCCCCACTTTGGCGGGGGGGGGGGGTTATAATATCTGAATCTTTTCTGCCTTTTGTGTGAGTTTTCTTGTTGATTGGCAGTGATTAACGTAGTAATGTTTGTGATGGCCAGCTGAAAGTTTTATCTCAACTCCCCCACAAATACTGACATCATCTTCATCTAAATAAAGTACTAGGTTTTTTATGCTGGATGTTCAAGTTTGATGATAGGACCATAGTAGAATCCAAGTGGAAGGGACCAAGGGAGGTCTCTGCTCCTGTGTCCTACTGAAAGTACAGTCAACTCTGTTTTCAGACCAGATTGAGCTGATCTGGAGAAATTCTAAAGACTGATTTCATAATCTCTCTGTTCAAACTTACTTATTATGTTTTCCTTCCCATTTTATTCGTGGTTAGAACCTGCCAAATTGCAATTCATGACCTGGTGACAAGTGACTCATTAACACTGAGGATATTAACGAGTCCCCCTGAGGGGGGGACACAGCGGTGGGGGGGGACAGAGGGTGCTGGTGCTGTGGGGCCAGGCATGTTCTGGAGATGGTGGTGGTGACCCCCATCCCATGGGTACGGGGTGGGGGAAACTGAGGCACGGAGGGGTGACCAGGGCCAGCGGAGGGGGTGCTGGAGGGGAGGGCTAGAGGGGGGGGCTTGTGGGGTGCTGCCTGCCCACATCTGCTTGTCACATCACCCATTGTGTGTCCCCCCCCAGGGCCACCAAGTCGCCATGGCCGACCCCAGCCACATCCAGTCGGCCGCCTCCAAGAGCATCCGTCCCTTCCGCTCCAGCGAGGAGTACCTGGAGGCCATGAAGGAGGACCTGGCCGAGTGGTTCAACACCCTCTACGACCTGGACATCCAGGTGGACACCTTCCTGGAGAGCTTGGAGACGGGCTGTCACCTCTGCCGTCACGCCAACAACGTCAACCGCATCGCCCTGGACTTCCAGCAGCAACACCCCGAGGTGGCCGCCCGTATGCGCGTCCCTCAAAATGAGGTCGTTTTCCAAGCCAAGAACGTGGTGCCCGGGTCCTTCATCGCCCGGGATAACGTCTCCAACTTCATCCAGTGGTGCCGACAGGACCTGGGCATCCAGGACGTCCTCATGTTCGAGACCAATGACTTGGTGCTGAAGAAGAACGAGAAGAACTTTGTCCTCTGTTTGTTGGAGGTGGCCAGGAGGGGCTCCAAGTTTGGCATGCTGGCCCCTATGCTGATCCAGATGGAGGAGGAGATTGAGGAGGAGATGAGGGACCAAATGGGCTACGGCGTGCTGGGCACGCGCCAGGAGAGCCGGGACCTCCAGGTGGCCACCTACCCCGGCAGGGCCCGGCCCATCACCCTCTGTGACCTGAAGAACCTGGATGAGCTGGTGAGACACGCTCCCCTGGGAGCCTTGTGCTTGGGTCCTCTCTGTCCACCCAACCGGGTGCTCTATGGCCCTTGGGAGGGTCTGTCCACTCAATGGGGCACTCTATGGCCCACAGGAGGTCCTGTCTGTCCACCCAATGGGGTGTTCTATGGGCCATGGGAGGGTCTGTTTATCTATGGCTTGTAGGAGGTCCTCTCTGTCCACCCAGTGGGGTGCTCTGTGGCCTCTGGGAGGTCCTCTCTGTCCACCCAACTGGGCTGGCTGCAGCCCTCGGGATGTTCTTCTCCATCGACCCAACCAGGTTCTCCATGGCCTGTGGGAGGTCCCCCTTGTCCACCCAACCAGGTTCTCCATGGCCTGTAGGAGGTCCCCCTTGTCCACCCAACCAGGTTCTCCGTGGCCTGTGGGAGGTCCCCCTTGTCCACCCAACCACGTTCTCCGTGGCCCGTGGGAGGTCCTCACCCCCCTTAGCCAGGTCCACCATCCTGTCCATGTCCTGTGGGAGGTCCTCACCCCCCTTAGCCAGGCCCACCATCCTGTAGAACCCCCTGAGGTCAGGAGGGGTTATTTTGGTGGCCATGGCCATAATCACAGGGGGCATCACCTCCGCCCCTGCCACTTCCTCCTTCACCGCGGGGAGGGACAGGGTGGTCCTCATCTCGGGGCCCTTCTCCTGACGGGATCCCTTCCTCCTCCTCCTCCTCCTCCTCCTCCTCCCAGG